GGTATCAGACATCAAAGAACAAAAAATTTTATCAGTGTGTATATGATCACTATATGATCACTCTAGACAAATGTGTGCATAAGCAAATGTGGTGAAGAAAACTAATGGTGCCCGAGTATCAAAAGATAAAGCGTCAGAGACTCCGTGACTCCTCCGAGAGGCAAGTCAGTACTTCTGGGCCCCACCAACAGGGTGGGAGGGGAATCCTGCTTCCGATTCCACCACAAGCCCTGGCCAGGGCCTTTGCGCTGTTTGTTGGTCTGTAACCCCGAAGACGCTGGATTAGATGTGGGGGAGGGTATTGGGAAAGGGGGGGCCTTTTAAAGGGGCAGGTGGAGGGCCAGGGCTCCGGCAGAAAACCGGAGCCTAAAGGGAACCTTCAGCAGCCCAGCCCCAGCTGACCTCACAATGGGCTCTCAAGGGTGGGGCAGGGGAGCTACGTGATCCGGTTGCCATGGCACCTGCAGTAACAATCGAGGACGTGGCCCCACCCTCTCTTCCTGGCGTTCCCCAGCCTACTCCACCCAGTCCCCACCTCCCAAGCCCTGGGACGGACGAACCTCTCCGCCCCTCTGGGGCCGCCAACAGCCAACACCGGAGGAGTCACTGAGGCTTCAGGACGCACTGGGAGGCGCAGGCTGCGGTAGGGCTAGAAAGATTCAAGCGTGGTGGGGGTCCAGAGGGGCGCTCTGGAATCCGGAACTGGGGCTTAGGGAACAGAGGTTGCTGCCCTCTCATCAGTGCCCCACCACCACCACCACCACCACGTGAGGAAGACAATGAATGAGCAGAAGGAATCCCTCCGCATCATCGAGCAGAAGTACAAGCTCTTCCGGCAGCAGCAGTTCACCTTCATCGCCGCGCTGGAGCACTGCAGGGAGAACGCCCGCACCAGGATCCGGCGCATCAACACCATCGGGCAGGTGCAGATGTACGTGGAGCACTACTGCAACAACTCCACGCACCGGCGGATTCTGCTCATGTTCCTGGACATCTGTACCGAGCTGAGGAAGCTCTGCCAGTGCTTTGAAGCCCTGCGCCCTGGCACCCCAGTCATCAACAGCCTCCTAAAGAAATGTAAGACCCTTCTTAGCCAAACCAACGACCTAAGCAGCCTGAGAGCCGGGTATCCTCACGACGTGGTGAACCGCCTCAGCTGTGACGAGGCCAGGAACCACTACTGCGGCGTGGTCAGTCTCATCGCCATAGTCTTAGATGGAATGAAAGAATGGATCGCCCAATCAGAGAAGCTGCCCCTCAAAGTGCTGCAGCAAGTGAGTGACCCCAAGCCAAAGGACTCCTCCTCCTCCACTTCCACCTCCACCTCCACCTCCACCTCCACCACCACCACCACCTCCACCTCCACCTCCACCACCACCACCACCGCCACCACCGCCACCACCACCATGGAGGTCCCCAGTCCTCACCAGACCACGGACACCCAGGCTCAGTTACAAACAGAGCAACTTAGGGGACCTCTAAAGTGCAGCCTCAAGCCTAGTCTGAAAGACAAACGATGTTTAAAACCTCCCTGGAGACCACCTGGTGGGAAACTGTAAGCCAAAGCTGGGTAAGATTGGGAGCTCCCTTCTTTCACTGGGTTTCCAGGGGCTGCCCCTTTTCATTGGTACTAGTCCCTGCCACATAGTAACCCCCAGAGGGACTGATAACACTACACCACTGAGAATCTCCCTCTCCTGTCTTGACTTGCTTCTAACTTTCTAACTCAGGCTCTGGGCTTATGAAAGAGGAGTCCCGCTCACAAGTTGCCAGGACAGTGTGTTGTTGCTAGAGGGTCTCAGGAAGGCTAACAAACAGAGAGGAAGGGCAGGTCCTCACTAGGTCCTCCCGGAGCAGGTGTCAGGCCTGTGCCAGGCCTGCCCTGGCTATGGGCTCCAGCTGAGTAACCAAGTAGGAGAAGACTACCCAGCTTCTCCTGGCAAAGTGGGTGCCCCCACCTCATGGTGGAAGTTGTTTTAAAGTCTGGCATGTTGAAACAGCCTATGTTATGTTTGGTTCTCTGGCTCAAAGCCACAGAGTGGACCCACCTTTCCCTTTCCTTGGGGAAGGGAGATGTATGATAGCAGTCAGACAGATTATGAGTTTGTGGCCCTTGAACAAGGAGGATTACCTGGTAATCACAACACAGTCAAGGCCCAAACACTGTAAAATGTCTCTAGCTGCACAGCTTGCCAGAAGTACTATCTGACTGTTGATTTTTCCCTTCACAGGGGACGACAGCTTCTGTATTCTTGCTTCCTCGGGGGGAAACAGTCAAGAATAAAAATTGTTCTACCAAAAAAATAAGATATAGTGTCTGGGGTCTTAAAGGCTTGAAGGTAAACAAGCGGCCATCTAGCTCAGAAGCAACAAAGCCCACATGGAAGAAGCACACCAGCCTGTGCGATCACGAGGTGTCGAAGGGATCAGGTATCAGGCATCAAAGAACAAAAAATCATATCATTGTAAATGAGGGTGAGTGCAGAGTGGAGACCCAAAGCCCATCTGTAGGCAACTAGAACCCCCTTAATGAAGGGTTGTGGGGAGGAGACGAGCCAGTCAGGTTGCAGGGTAGCAACGATGCAACATACAACTTTCCTCTAGTTCCTAACGCTTCCTCCCCCCCACCCCCACTATCATGATCCCAATTCTACCTTACAAATCTGGCTAGACCAGAGGATGTACATTGGTACAGATAGGAACTGGAAACACAGGGAATCCAAGACAGATGAACCCTTCGGGACCAGTGGTGAGAGTGGCGATACCTGGAGGGTGGAGGGAAGGTGGGGTAGAAAGGGGGAACCGATGATTACAAGGATCTAAACATAACCTCCTCCCTGGGGGATGGACAACAGAAAAGTGGGTGAAGGGAGACATCGGACAGTGTAAGATATGACAAAATAATAATAATGTATAAGTTACCAGGGGTTCATGAGGCAGGAGGGAAGGGGGGAAATGAGGAGCTGATATTAAGGGCTCAAGTAGAAGCAAATGTTTTGAGAATGATGATGGCAACAAATGTACAAATGTGCTTGACACATGGATGGATGGATGGATGGATGGATTGTAATAAGAATTGTACGAGCCCCCAATAAAATGCTTTTTTAAAAAGACAGGGCTTCAAAAAGTTGGTGGGAAAAATGGAACCTTTCCAGGAACTTCTTGAAGCCTCCTATTCTCTATTGTGAAGCCAGAATTAAGGATGTTATCAAGTTTAATAGTGCCCAGGGCAATCTCCATATTGTGTGACCCCCTTCCCATGGAGCTTCCAGGGACACGCTCTAAATCCTCCCCACCCCGAATTTCAAGATAGGCTTTGAATGCGGCGGAAATGGTTATCTCCCATTTGTCTGGCTCTCTCAGTCAGGTGCCTTTCACATTTGTGGCATCTTAGAAGGTTATTCTATATCTAGTCTGGTACTCCCTTGGACTGGTGCCTAGGGGTAGGTGCCCTCCTCTGCCCACCACCCTCCCTACACCTCTGTGTCTACCACATTTGAGGAAGGATGTTGGGCCATACAGGTTTAGTAGAAAATGCTCACTGGTGCCAAGGGCACATGCCATACCTAAGCGAGTCCCCTAGGAAGTCACAGGATTTGCTGATGGATTGAATCACACACGTGAGCAAAAGAGAAGATCCAGGGTTGCCTATCAGATGTCCCGGCCTACATCTTTCTGCAGTGATCATGAAGGAAACCCGGGTGCCCTCCACTCTCCAGGCCGTGGTTCTCAAGCTTCCTAATGCCGTGAACCTTTAATACTGTTCCTCGTGTTGTCGTGACCCCCAAATCATAAAGTTATTTTCGTTGTTCCATCATCACTGTAATTTTGATACTGTTAGGAATCAGGTGAACCCTGTGAAAGGGTCGTTCGACCCACAGGTTGAGAACCACTGCTTTAAAGGTTCCGCAAATACTCATTAAATCATAGTAACTAAAGCTGAAACTTGGCACTAGGATTTATTAGGAACCCCCCCCCAACAAATAAAAAATAAGCTAATCTAAAAAAAAAACAATTTTTTAAACTCCAGAAGTCTCTGATGTTTCCAGCCTCCATTATGTCTTACCACTGTCTTCCTAGAGGTTGGTTTTATAGTAAAAAACTATATTCAAAGGTAGCTAACTTTATTTTCAAATACATCTTTTTCTTCATGTTGCTGTAAATGGCACCACATTTTTGCCACATGTTAGAAAAAATACATCCAGGTAAATGTAGACAAAATTTAGGGATTTCTCGGATTTTTTTTTTATTTCCTCTTTCTCATTGGGATGATGTGTTAGGCTGGGTTGACTAGAGAAATAAATCCAGTGACACTCATGAAAAAGAGTTTTATGTCAAGAAGTAATTTTATATCAAGAAAGCATCCCAGCCCAGCCCAACTCAAGTCCAAAAGTCCAATACTAGTCCATAAATCCCTCTTCATCCTCATACAGCCGCATGCAGTGAAGCAGAATGCAGGAAGATGACAGGCTGGTGTGGATCCAAGGTGGGTGAAAACATGGCAGAGCTCATGGCAGGGCTCAGCAAGTAGAAAGGTGAAGGCAGAGAGAGGAAATGAGGTTCCCAGGGTCCTCTTTATGAGTGGGCCACACCCACAAGGAGGCATCATCAGGCTGTGACCTGATTTACAGGTTGGATACCACCCCTTAACTTTTATGTATCTTCAAGTTGACATATCATTTTCTACCACAGATTATATCCAAGAGCCAGGGGCATTTGGGATAGCTGTCTAACCCCAGATCAGCGTGATCACCTCCTGGCATCCACTGAGCTGTGCCTTCCAATGTGGCTCTCAAGCTGTCTTTCCCCTCCATACTAGTATCATCTGGGATGTAACCAGGAAAATCCAGCCTATGAGACCCCCTACAGTCCTGCCTTTTTAAAAATCATTTTATTAGGGGCTCATACAACTCTTATCACAATCCATACATACATCAATTATGTAAAGCACATTTGTACATTTATTGCCCTCATCATTCTCAAAACATTTGCTCTCCACCTAAGCCCCTGACATCAACTCCTAATTTTTCCCCTCCCTCC